AATTAATGTGTGATATTCACAGCATCAGCTCATAAAATGACAAACGCGCAAGATTAACAACAAGATGTTCAAATGCCATTACTCTCATCTAACTGTTAACCTCGAGCATGTCACAACAGTTTTTATTTAGTCTTCTGAGCCAGTGAGGAATAAAATTCATGGAAAGAGAGAATGAGAGCAAATAGACAAGCATTATTTAAATGTCATGGCATAATGTGCAGGGACTAATTTTATGCATAAATTATGTTACTGTCAATTTAATTAAAGCCACACTACCATTTAAAAGTTTGGGGTAATGCTGCATTTACTTGATTAAAAATACAGTAAAAACACAAATATTTTGAAATATTATTACAATTTAAAATAACTGTTTTCTATGTGAATATATTTTCAAAAAATTTGCAAAGCTGAATTTTCAGCATCATTACTCCAGTCTTCAGTGTCACATGATCTTCAGAAATCATTCTAATATGCTGATTTGCTGCTCAAGAAACATTTCTGATTATTATCAATGTTGAAAACTGTTGTGCTGCTTCATATTTTTGTGGAAACCGTGATACATTTTATTTTTCAAGATTCGTTGATGAATCGAAAGTTCAAAATAACAGCATTTATTTGAAATCGAAATCGTTTGTGACATTATAAATGTCTTGATCAATTTAATGCATCTTTGTTGAAGAAAGTATTCATTTCTCTACAAAAAATCGTACTCTTTGAACAGTAGTGCATTTCAAATATTATCTAAATATTATCTCATTAGAGTGAATAATGACGTTGTTTTCTGAACATCTGATCCATTTCTGCTCTGTTCATGGCAGCAGTTTTGTGGAGGTGTGTTCGGATGTTTGTTTTCTGATTGTTAATTATGTATAAGAGAAGGTTTTCATGGAATAAGATGAAAGAGGAAGAGGACATGGACATTTTTAAGTGGCCCACTTACACTCATCAATAGTTAAGCAGACCTGTGCGTGCTCATAGTAAGAGCAATGCATTCTGGGCTTCGCACAGATTTATCAAACGCTCATTTAGATCCTAGTTTTGGGAATATGCAGATGTGAAACGTAGACTATAAAGAAACAATATAATGGATGCTAGTGTTTTGCAACGTTTTTGGGTTATGCAATTGCAAAACTGAAACGCCTGCAGGTGTCTGTGCATCATAATCAGCTGCTGTGTTTCAGTCAACATACAACAAGGTGGAAAAAGAGGTGCGTGCAAACATACAGATTCACAAATGCACTTCTGCACTTTTGCTTTGTTTAACTCTGTCTCACTCTGGTCCAAAAATAATAATCATTTCATTGTCTTGTTAAATTGAGTTCACTTTTGCATCCTGGTCACATTACATTTCACATTTTAAGTGCAAGGGAAGTTATTTTTAGGTCTAAAGTATGCATAGAAAACTATAAAATTATTCATTTAATATACTTTTTTTATACTGTAATAAATTCATATATAATTTATATATTATAATGACATTTGATTTAATTATATATCTTTAATTAGACGGCTTATACATGTGTATATATATATATAGAGAGAGAGAGCGAGTAAATTAATGTAGAAAAACATGAAGATGGTATATTTTGAATATTTGTTTATTGCCATTTTTTTGTAAGTACTATGAATGAAGACAAGTATCACTAATATCAATACTGATACTAATGAAAATTTTAATACATTTTTGGGGATAAAATGAGTAATTATAGACCTTTATCTTTACAGTAAAATTTGTGCCATCATTTTAACATTTAAAAGGCCCAGATAGTTACAATATATATATATATAAAAAATGATAGCTTTTAATTTAGGTGAGCTTAAAATAATCATTGCATAAACCTATTATAATAAATGTCATATTTATCTGTGCCTTTAATATGATTGTATATAGTGCATATATTAATATAGTGATGTCTCTGTCAATATCCGCTTTCTCATAAGATATATCTTCCCTCCAAAAGTTTACTTTGCACATTCATTTTTTACAATAAATAAGAAAATTATTGTTTAAAAAAAGACATTAGAAGAGCTATAACAAAGAGTGAAAAATTTAAGGGGGTCTGAATACTTTCCGTACCCACTGTATATATATACTTTGAATAATATGCAGTTATCTGAGAAAATGACCCTGTTATGTAATTTCTGTAATGTTTCTACTCACGAATCTCAGGTTTATGACGCTTGAAAGTGTTTAGTTTAGTAAAAGGAGAAGGTTTCAGAGTGTTGTTGGTATTGGCGAGTGTTTTATCTGTGATGTCTGAAGCTCTGTGAGATATTGGCTGTATTTTTCTGTAATGTTATCTAAACACTGGGGTGAATCGATGTCTTCTGTCAGCTTCTGTTAAGTGTACACCGCTACATGCACTGGGAATATAGATGAGGGAGATTTTTCTGTCATATTTATCACTGCTTGATTCATCTTTGTCTGAGACTTACACCATAATAATAAAGCACAGTAATATTAGGGGTCTCATAGACCATAATGCTGTAGGTAAATGATAAAATTAGGGATGCACCGATACCGATACTCCTGTACTCGTACTTGTTAAAATGCCCCGATACCAAATGCCGATACCACACAGCATGTGATAAGTGCCATATTCAGACAAAG